ACGATGTTATATATTATATGTCCCTGGATTCTGCGAAAAACTTCAACCAAAAGGCAAAGACCATTTGCGACTGACAGCCACCATTGGTGGCAATTTGAAGGCCCAGCTCGAAGATGGTTGTTCAATGAGCAAGCGAAGATCTTGACGGACACTGCAACAGGCGAAGGGCACATGCAAGATCATGCAAGCGTATGATAAAGATTGATAAAGCAAAAGCACTCACTTGACAACAAGATCAAACTGCATTCCTGCCTGTAGACGGCATTCAAGCATTCAGCCTAGTATCACGCAACACTAATACCCAAATGATTTCAAACGTCATGCGCGCAAAGGATGTACGCAAGTCAAAAAGCGCAAAAGTAAATCTGCGCCAGGAAGCAAAGTTTGTCCAGATTCGGTTTGCGCAACGAACTCGTAGGTTTTTGAGATTGCCCCAAGTGTTCAGCAGCGACCGCTGGTGAACTGATGAACATGCTTGTACAAACAGAGAACATGGTGGTCCACAAATGATCAAGCCCTGCCACGCCAACCTCACATGAGCAACCAAAGGTCATGACTCGATATCAAAAAACATAAAAACAACAAAAGTATTTCAGTCAACGTGTAAACACATGTTCAGAAGTAAGTTATATAAGTCTGAGCACTTCAGAATCGCGCGCAAAAGAAGTTCCACTCCTGTGTAGGTTGTCAAATCACGCTCATCGTTCAGCAAAATATCCCAGGGCTCAGCCCGAAAGTTGGCGCGTTCAAAGCAAGACCTTTCAGACGCGCCCAGAAGTTTCAAAAGGTTTAACAGCATACAAAGAATGAGGTGTGTATGATTACGTACGCATACCAAACTGCTCAAGCAAGCTGCGCGACGCTCCTGGATGCTCCAAATAGATCCAAGCAGTGACATTCACGGACAGTAACTCAGAGCAGTTGCTTCAATTATCTGAAAGATAAAAAAAGCATCAAAAAACACGCCTCACTTACTCTGAATCCACACTTCCATACCTTCGTGTGAGTTCATCTGGCTTCCAAGCGGCTCTCTGCGGCGATGAGAAAAGCCAAGTTGACCAGGAATCTCTTGTGGCGTTCTGCTTTGAACCATCTTGGTGCCAGTATTTTCTCAGGTGTTTGATGGACTAGGATTTCTATAAATTGAGCTGCCCAACCCACAGGCAGCACATGAAAAGCATCTAGGAATCACCCATTACGTTGACACAACATCAATGAGCAAGCAAAGCACATAGCAATAATAAACAATACACGGTAGTTCAAACAAAAACAAACATATATGACATGTAGGGGTCCAACGTGCCATTTTATAGATAGATTATGATAGATTGGCGGATAAGACAAGTAGTAAGATGCCTTAATAATTGAAAAGTCAATCAAAAAGGATAAAGCCATTCAAGACACTTTAGTCAACTTCAACTCACAAATTCAACACACTTGGAGTATGATTCGAGATAAAAAGTTGGAATGTGTTTTTCAGCGTTTGAAAAAATGTCAGCTAAGCCACTTCGATTCGTCAACTCCGCTTGTCGTATCTAATCCCTTTGGCGTTTTCACCATTGCACAGGCACAAGCGAGAGGTATATGGCGACAATGATTCACGTATCACCAAATGGTCATTGGCTGCGGAGTGCAGGAGCCCGATGGTGCAGGCGTGCAACAAACACCATTCCCCATTCAAAAATATTTCACCAAAAAAACAAACGCATCCAATCTCTTTGAACAAGACTTTCTTGATCTTTCTTGTAAAAAGCAACCTCGCTAGAACTTGGGGCCCAGGCTGTATTCTCTTTTTTCACCGGTTTTCCCAACCGACTGATTTCCAAGGTCCATCTCCAGCATTCCCTGGGCAAAGCATTAAGGAATCTGTTTGAAGATTCAACTAAAGCGCAATCATTGATACTCAATGCAAGACCAAAAGCGACAGATCCACTAACGTGCGTCTCAAGTACATCTCATCGTCGTAGTAGGCATAATGCCAAGAGGGTCTGCCACGGTAGTACTTGCATCGGGCAACTCAGTTGCGTCAAGTATTGAGTCAAGCATTCATCACCCGCACAAAAAACATCAAAAAAAAGCTTTCATTTGCCCATCTTTTTTTTGTCGCAGGCACCCCATTTTCCACTCTTTGCATGGAAGAACGGCTCATTCATGTCTTCCACACATTGTTTGATCCCCTGGGAATCATTGCAAACCACGTCTGCACACTTGATTCCTTGCCAAGATTTTAGAACACTATGACTCACCTGTCATTCCTTTCATGTTGTTTTACAATCTTTTGCTACCATGGAACGCATACCTTTGGACATCCAGCTGGACATTTGCTGGACGGCTCCATCTCAATGGCCCGCGAAGCCCGCGGAATTCTACCACAGTTGGTGTCTTGCTTTTCATATTCCTTGGATTTTGTCCTGAAATTATTTAGATTAATTTCTATCTTTTGGTAATCCATGGTAATCCTTTTCATGATGCCATTTGCAGGTGCTTGAGAAATGACAGCGGAATCAATACCAACCATCCAACACACACGCATTCTCTATAAAATGACTGCCTGACCCGCTGGGGGGTCAGGCCATAATACGCTTTATATGAGGGTCAACCCCTGTCATTTCATAGAGGCTATGTACACGGGGATACAACTAGTACGCGGAGGAATCTGTGGAGCTGGAAGCTGAGAACTGGCGACTTCGTAGTACAACTTTAGTGCGCGGAGTATCTGGGGAGCTGGAAGAGAGTCCCACAAGAGTGTCCCCCAACAGTGTCCCGCTAGAGTCTAGAGTGTCTCACAAGAGTGTCCTACAAGAGTG